CTCCAACCAATGCGCTACACGCGGCCGATAAAAAAAATGACTTTTTGAATATTCTAGAGTACCACTGAATTAGGAAAATATGAGTAGCACTTCTATTAAAACAGAAAGTCGTGCATTCCCTTCTAATTCCAATTATTTCATCGTCGCTGACTCGAATAGAAACTCCTCCTAGAAATTTGACCTTTGTCAAGAGTTTTCCTTTTCGACGTGATGTTCGAAGAAATCCGATGCACTCTCTGTTAGGAAAACGATTCGATGGGGATTTGAAAACTAAGCACTAGTGTTTTTCTCATCCAAGGAAAATACTTTTGCGTTATTCTTCAGTGAAGAGGAGGAAGTCCCTCGCTTTGCGATAGTACGTCACCGAGAAATCAGAAATCGGATATGGTCCGATATCTTCAGAAGTTAAACACCTTCAGTAATGACATTCTCTACAGCCGGCCAAATATGGCTCATAGATGCGGGCAATGCGAACCACATGCAGTTTACGGAATGCTTCAATTTCCGATGAACACCTAGCTTATCAGGACATCTTGTTTCCACTTACGAACGTCTTTTATAGTGCCTTTGCTTAAAGAGAATTTCTCTATCAAACAGAGATTTCTCTATCTACCTAACAAACATACTTTATAAGTCGATAGAGAACAATTCTCGTAACTGCATGTAACCTACTGTACAGTGAAATATTTACCGCAACGCCCGCATCCGCGCCCTACATTCACATCCCATCTTTACCCACAAGGCACACCACCAGGCATGCTACCAGGCACAACTCGTTGCTTAGGGACTAGACCTTGTGACTCGTTCCTAGACCCTGCAACCCGACCAACTACTATTCTATATTCCACTGGGCCAAGCAATACACTGTTTCTAAAACTACTTAATTTTCCAACCAAAAACTTTCAACAAATCCGGCTCAACGAAATAAAAAATAGTAAAAGAAGACATAGACGTCCACAACAAATTGGGCTTCTCGAAAATTCCCTATAGTTTTCCGGAAAGTCGAGTGCTTCAGGAGTTCATATTGACAGGTCTATAGGAGAAACTTTCCCTATCGTTCTGAAGTTGGGATAACCTAAGCGAATCGAAAACTTAAAAGGAACAAATTTTTGATTGTCTTAGCTTAAAGACGGTAGCCGCCACTACCAACGGCGCAGTGAGGGACACCATAGTGTCGTGCTTGTTCAGTCTCTGGCTGTATGGAGGATGAACCGAAACGGAAAAACCGTATGATTGGACAAAACTGGGACTTCATGTTAAGAGGACGACAGAAATTTGAATTTTGTAAACGACTAAGATGATGCTGAGATATTTGCAAAACTCTGGACCGCAGGTGTCTGCGGTGGAGAACGAACGCGCTATTGTCCTTTCCGGGGTGTAACGCGTTCACCACCACACCATGCGGGTCCTTCGTTTCGTCTTTCTCTTAGCTAGTTCTATTAATCTGCAGCATCAACAATCACCCGTTAACGGGACTGACCTAGTGAGCCCAAATCGGCATCGAACCTAGTTAAGCTGAGGCTGAAGTCGAAATTGCAATCTTAACCTTTTTATTTGCTGCCTATTTAATTTTTTACTTTCACTTTTTAAATTTTATTACGGGTGATTGCTGATGGCGCAGAACAATAAAGCTAGCTGAGAGACAAGCGAAACAAAGGACCCACATGGTGTGGTGGTGAACGCGTCACTCCCCTGAAAGGACAATAGCGGTCCGGAGTTTTGCAAATATCTCAGCATCATGTTAGTTGTATTTCACATGATACCCTGCCGTTAAAAATTAAAGTAGGTAGCAAATAAAAAGGTTAAGTTTGTAGACGACTATTTGTATATTTGGCTCATTTTGCAATTAATAAACTTCGCTTGGAGTCAAAATATGCTTATTTAAGTCTGTTGTCGAGAATGTGTTATCATGGATTAGTCGGTGCAGAGGAAATGGCAAGGTGCAGATATTGACAGAAAGTACTACTTCATTCACAACCACATACATACTTTACAGATCACAAATCAAACTTGAAAACTGAATGCTTCGTGAATTACGCTTCAAAAACCCTTCTCCAAAACGCACTTCATCCTTTTGTGTAAAATTTAACTAAGAATCAACAAATAAGGTTAGGCGATGCTCTCACATGAAAAGCTTCAGCGGTGTGCCCCGTTGTGTGTATCTAGATATCAAGGTGTTCCGCGAAGTACAAACCTTTTTCACAACCCCCAAAAAAAGTCGAAGACAAATCCAACATCCAACATACTTCTCTAATTGTTCTACACTAAGCATGTTCTAATATAGAACGGATAATGAATTCCTGCGAGAATGAGAAACGCCTCGGGCAATATGGAATATTGGACTAGCTGGTAGATTTTTCACCTTGAAGGAGTTTCATATTAAATAAAGGACTACTGAAATTATAACACCAAGAAACAGCATGAAACTTGCAAGTCTCGTACAACTATCTTTCAACGTCAACCGCTCTGTATAAAAGAGCACTGCCGAGTTATGCCGCGTACCACTGAAGAAGATCCGTCTCGGAACGGCTACGAAGACGTCACATCGACAAGATGAAGAATTGTGGACATCGACACGGATCATTGGCTCTGAGCAAGATAAAGACGTCGAAATGTTAGCCGAATAAATTTTTTAACAACCTCGCGTAATGTAAGCTCAATTTCAGTACATATCTCTAGTTGTATCTTACAATTTCAACACATTCCTGATCTTTAATAGAGGTGTGTGGCGCAGTGGTTATAGGTGCCTTGCAATAGACACGAGCTTGTTGGTCTCATTCCTTTTCCCTATGTACAAAAAGTCGTCCATTCTTCCGAAGTCTCAAAATTGATGCCAGACTTGTTTAAGAGGACAGCAGCACTGACCTGATATGACGGTAGGCCACTATTAGTCATTATGTAGGCCAGATATGCATTTAATCACCTCTAAGAATGCACGGCGCATCCCTCAGGTAGTGGACGAAGAAGACGATAGTTTTCTTTTGATAATTTATCCTGATCTCTGCCACAGGGTTTTGATTCGTAATGAGGAATGATGACAACAAGTAGTATTGTCAGCGGCCGAGGAAGTCTAGTTGTAAGCGACTTGTACCAGCATTACCAGATTATCGTGTGATGCGTTGTCGGTAATGATAAAGTCGTTTCACCACATCGCTCTAAACTTCGTGAGCTCACTTATCGTGAAGCTCATCTCTACTCAAAAATGCGGTAAGGCAGTTGACCAATAAAGAACAACGAGTCGGAAATATTGTAAAGCAATTAAAAAGCAATTAAAAGTAGTCATAACCGAAAAATATCAATAATCACAGCAGTCAGTTCACAGCAAATGAAAACCATTACCACCTAGCCAACATGGGAAAACGGAACGGTCCGTTTCCACCAAGAATGGTAAAATTCCCAGCACATTTCAGAAAGATCACAATGTCTCCACCTAAAAAACCTAAACCGGTCCACCGAATGGTGCCTGCAAGGATACTCCTGGAATGCACTAGAGATGAAGAGGTTTCCTAACTCCCCCCCCCCCCCCCCCCCCNTTCTCCACCCCCCCCCCCCCCCCCCTTTACTTTAACAGGAATATAGGTGACTAGGTGGATCTTATACTAGAAAACCATGTCAAGACTCAAGAATTTGTAATGTAGAGTAATGAGATGAAAAAGGAAACATTTCTCGCCTCTACGATTATGCCAACTTTCATAATAGATTACTACCTCTCAAAACTGACAGCCTCTTCTTCCTTTTTGTTTTTGGAGGCCTCCTAACACTTATCACAGGGGTGTCGACGACTTTTGCATCAGAGAGAAGTTTGCCAGACAATCACTAGGTGTCCTTCCCAAGGGCATGATTCCTGCACCGCTTCCGAACGCTAGTGCCGAATTCCTCAAATTGGGTGAAGTCGGGCAAAGAGCCAACCTGTTACATAAAATCCTGGTACACCTCTCAGTCACGATGAGGCGTCATCGTACCGAGAGGAACTGTTTATTTAATTAAAGAAAACTCTGAAGGTAGCCGTTATTCAAATCAAAGCAGTAAGATCTCCGGAACACTACTAGGGGAACTGATTGGTATACGAACCTAGGTGGTCTCAAAGAATTGGAAGAACCTGAAAGCAGCAAGAACCTAGAAATCAACTGTTCGTATGTTCCGGCGTTTGTACTACCACTTAACAACAAATTTGAGCACGCACGTGCACAGCAGTTTGAAAAAGAAAAAGAATAAAAGGCCAAATTGTTCAGCCTATTATGTTTATTTCGTGGGGTTAGTGACTATGTTAGAAACCGGATATTGATATTTCCTGAAAGATGCAACATGCACTGGACTCCACCGAACGTATAGTTGGTCTGTACAGTGCTACGGCCTACTGACTCGTGTTTTCGGTCTCAAATAGGCCCGACACCAAAGTACCGACCAGCAGGGGTGGAGCGCTTGGTTAGCCTGAAGCGCAGAATCTAACCAATAACCAGGCGTGTACATCAGGTCTGCTCAAGCCAATACGCAACGCGCGCCCTGTGGAGAAATTGTATTCCGACAGTGCACTAAGACCATTCGAGAAAGTTATAGTGAAAGTGCATTTAAGCTAGATATTGATCGGTACACATTGGTGGTTGACCTCTTTCACTGGCAAGTGCAAAACTAGAGAAGCGAATGTTTACGGATACCGGAATAGCTTTGGGCTAAATGGACATGAGAGGCCCAAAGTCAGCTATAGAAGAATGAAAGAGGGCGTGTTTTTGTCTTCGATGCCACCGATAATGAGCACAGCCTTCAAAAGTTTCGGCAGGAGTTTTAGTAACCTATGGTGAAAAAAGACATGAGGATTTGCTGACTCTAAAGTGATCTGCATTTATGAAAGCAGAGAGCAAAAGGAACAGAAAAAATAGGATAAAATGCAAGGACACATGCGGGTCAGAACACCGATGGTGGGCATAGGTGCTTGAAGGAATGGATGACGGAATGAACAACAACACAAGAACGAACCTCGCCGCATTTCCGCTTCCTTGGCATCATCGTGGCCACCGGACCGTCGCCGTCCGTCGGATATGGAGATGCTGCGCCCGTCCGTGCGTCCGCGGGTCCGCCAGTCCGTCCGTCCGTCCGTCCGTCCGTCCGTCCGTCCGTCCGTGCGTCCGTCGAGCCGCTGTCCGAGTAGGCGCTTTGCCGGCTCTGTCGGTCTGCGTCTCGGCGTTTTCCGTGCACTCCCCGAGGCCGGTCGCCTCCGCGTCCGCGTTTCCCTCGCTCTGCCGACGTGCCGTCGCCGCGCGTCGGCGCTTCCGCGTTCCGCGTGCATCTCGCCACGACCCGAATTTTCTCGTCTTCATCGCGACGACGCCGAGCCGAGCTGGAACGCGGCAAATCAATGAGGCGACGGAAATTTCTCTCGCTTCAAATCGCGATCGGTCGGGTCGAGCGCGTTATTCTCTACCACCATAGTTTGTTAGCTGGCAGTTTAAAGGAATACCACATAGCATTCCGGCAGTTTGCCTCTGTCATCGAAGAGGTATCGATTCATGATATCTTCGATTCGCTTTGGTGGAGGCATAGGCTTTCCCAAACGTCCAGCGTTACAGATCAGAACTTTGGAGAATTTGTGAAGATTTCTGTGCATTATACTCTACAAAAGTGTGAATTCGCATAAACCTAACAATGGGGAAGAAAGTAAAAAAAGTTCACTGCTTTTGATAGAATTTTTACCAGTAATAATTAATACTACCACAAGCAGTTCAGTGCTAGTGATCCCGTTTATAACGCAGACAGCGCAACCCACCCTGCCCTGTTTCGATGCTGCCCCGGGCCAACCAAGCATTTCACCACTCCGGGGTTGGAAAATTGGTGTCAGACTTGTCTGCGACAAGCTAACTCCCGCTTGTGCACCTGGGAACGGCTCAGCACTGCTAGCCCAGGATTCCAGGTGTACCCATTCGACCAGCATTCAGCGACATTCATAAAAAATACAAAAAAACCCCTCAAGCAGCAGCCAAACCCACTCGAAGAAAGTTGGAAGAGTCTCGCCGACTGGGCATGCGAGGAAACGAATCGAATGCAAGGAGGACTGGAATCCGCATAGTATGATATACATGATTTCGGGTCAAATGAGGAAGTAATGGATAAAAAACAACTACCACTTGCTTATATTTAATTCATAAATTGTTAACACCTGTCCCTGATAATTTTCCCCTGAAACCTAGTTTTCAGTGTTTAGGTCGATTTAAGAAATGTTCTCAAGGCATAAAAGTCGCACTGTTCAACTTCACCACTTCAAATATGACACAATTCAACAGTAGCAACCCGAAGTGATACAAGTGCATGGCGATGGGAGAGTATTCGAACGCACAATGCGCAGATGATTTGGATCTTTCGTACTAGAGCTATGAGCCTTCGTGATGAAGAACGTACTGGGCGCCTATCAGCAGTGGACGACAATCACCGGAGTCCGGCAATCGAAACTAACCCCTTCAAAGAACTCTGTGAGATGTTGCAGAGATAAGCTCACCATTCAGCAACCGCTCATGGGGTGAAAAACATGGAAAAGGTGAAAAGTTGAATAGGTGTGCGCCGGATGGAAAGCAACGAGATCGTCGCCGTTAAGTCAATTCCGTGCTGCTTTCACACAACAAAACCACTCTCTCTAGAACGCACTGTGATGTACGACGAAATTTGAATGATATACAACAACCCCGACGTTCAGTGGAGAGGTCGGAATGAGGCGGGGCTCCTAAATGTTTTCTGAAATCGATTTTGCTTAGAGTTTCAGCCTCCCAACGGTTTACCGCTTCGTCGTGGCTGGCAGGTATTCTTGGGTGTCGGGCTGCGATGTACAGCGAAGTGGTTCCATGTTGTTTACTGTTTGCTAAGGAGATGTTTACGATGACTTCCTCCTTTCCGACGAATGGAATCATATAGAAAATATCTTGTATCTTTGGAAAACGATCCGATGACATTTCAAGGATGTTGCTGCTCATATATCTAGACGTATTCAACAAATAAGGTCCATACCTTTTCACGATAACGTTCGACTTCATGGTTCACAACTAACACTACATAAATTTAATGGTGAAATGGGGCAGAAAACTCTGTCTCACACGTTGCCAATCGAACGGTTCCCTAACTAACATCTAGCCGAGATTATGTTCAACAAATTAGCCGTTGCTAGAAGCTCCTTCGAAGAATCCACTGCCTTAGAACTTTACTGGGATTTCATGTTGACGGAATAAACAAACTTGTATAATGTTGCAACACATGTGTTGGTTCTAGGGCTCTTATTTGACCAATAACGTTGTCTTTGAGTCTTCTTATGCCGTTTAGAATTCAAGAATTCACGGTTTGAAGTCGTAGTTACTTCTGAACCAAGATAGAAATACATTCTACGCCGCCAAGTAGTCGACCGATCTATACGTGACTACCTTCGTGACAAAAACGGTTAAAATGGAGGGTTTAGGAGCAAAACCGTTTTGTTATTCGGCTTCTTCAAGCAAACAATACCGAGTGAATAGTTCTGAAACGTAGTGGAAATGAGCGAAGTCCGTTGCTGCTCGCTTGAGTTACTGAGTTACTCAATGATTAACAGGATGGAAGGTGATTCTGAAGATTAGTATTTGTTTTCTTAGAAAAAATTCTTATTTTTACAATACATATTCGTATACTGTATGAATCCTAACACATGTTCCATTCGATTCGGTGCCTTGTGTCCACTTCCCATGAATGTGTTTGGATTTGCTTTGTGTTGCTTACTGATAGTAGGCCCGTCTGGGAAAAACTCATTCCAACTCATTAATGTCAGGGCGAGCCTGTGTTGACGACGCGGTAACGGTTTAGTCAAGTTGTTGGAGAACTCCAGGGAGAATCCACGCGATTACCATCGAACGAAATTTGCAAGGAGGTTTCACCTTCAAGTTTCTGTCGAACCCAAACGGAAATCCGAACACCAGTGAATCACGAATGCTAAGTAAAGGAATGAAGAAAAAAAGTGCTGGGACCAACAGCCAACCATATAAATAATGTGCGTGAATATATATAAATATAAGTGCAAAATAACGGTGCAATGTAGATACAATATACGATAAATAAGTCTACATATATGTACACATATAGATGAATGTATAATTGTAGTGAGGAAGGTAGGGCAGTTCCCCGGATTCGGCCATAAGATACTATGTGATAAGTACAATGTTGCTGAGATATTTGCAAAACTCTGGACCGCAGGTGTCTATGGTGGGGAACGAACGCGCTATTATCCTTTCCGGGGAGTAACGCGTTCACCACCACACCATGCGGGTCATTTGTTTCGCACGTCTCTCAGCTATTTCTATCGATCTTTTTGCCACAGCAATCACCCGTCAGCGGGGTTGATCTGGGGAGCGCAAATCGGCATAGAACCCAGTTAAGCTATGGCTGTAGTTGAAATCACAATGTTTTAACGTTTTGTTTTCTGCCTTCTATAATTTTCATGGCAGGTTACTAAGCGAAATACAACCACAATGTTGCTGAGATATTTGCAAAACTCTGGACCGCAGGTGTCCGCAGGTTATAGAAGGCAGAAAACAAAACGTTAAAACATATGTGATAAGTAGTTTCCCAGAGTAGGCATGCGGTCTATTTGTGCGAGGTGATTGCGTGATTCTCACTACAACTTGCCGCAGGCCTTTGTGGATCGGAAAATGTGCCACTCTGGGTTCAGAGTAGGTGCTACCGAGAAGGCGGTTTTCAATAGCTAAATGCTAAGAGCTGCGCTCTCAAAACGAATTGTCTGATTCCTTCTCGACTTCAAGAAAGGGTGGAATTTAGTTGAAAATTTTAATTTTTCCGAACCATTTTCAAATTTGCAATTGTTATTGATAATACAGCTGCGACTATAGGAATAACGACAATGGCGACTATGATCATTATTATTATTCGTTCACTGTCATTACAGCCCTACACTCCTGTCATCACAGTGCACCGCATGTGTCATACGTTCCTAGCGCTGGTCGAGTGATAGCGAGAGTTCCACGCCCTCGTGATAAGATGTTTACTCATCGTATCGAATAGGTGTTAACGCATAAGACGTGATAAGGTTCGGTGGCAAATTGTTCGTTTTATCAGCAACTTATCAGTTTTATTGTTGCTGCCCAGGAAAACGGAATGCATTGAGGTTGTCGGTAAGAATTACATGCGAGCTCTGCTAGCGTCATGAACACTGCCGGAGCAAGGACGGTCTGTTTCTCTTTATGGTTGCCTTCTCATTTTTGAACGAGTAGTAGACATGCATAGCTGTTGCTGTGAGAAATTCAAAGTGGAAATACAGACAGGTGAAAGAAAAGGAATCAGTGCTCCTGAAGGCGCTCATCCAACGGCTCATGACTACGGTGCAGAATCCTCTCGGAAACCTGAAAATCAATTCGTGGTGAGAAAATAACGAACCACTTTAGAGAAGTATTTTTGCAACGAATGGTCAATAATCTGAGGTGTATATGTCCCTGAAATGACTAAACAAAAGCACCATTTCATCAACTTCATCGTTCTCGTGGGTAAGCGTTGCACAACCGCCACATGAGAGTGCCACTGTTTTGGAAAAACGGATAGACTGCGGTCAGATAGACAAAGTGGATCCGTTTTTTATTTGGGTCGAGGACGAAAATAGAAATGGACATACGATCAGGTGTATCTGCTTTCAGACACTGCGGAACCACCTTTGTTTCCGAATTCGCCTGGGTTTTCATGAATAGGGGCTCAAGCTGTCGCATTCGTTGACCGAGTTGCTGATGACAGTGGGCGGTTGGCAGTTAAAGCAGATCAATGGTTTGAGAGAAGGGAGGTGATGTGATCAGCTGAATCAGTCTGTTAAGGTGGCAACAGATACCAGCTGTCTCATGCTGTTGTCAGTCATTTCCAGAGAACCCACCAGATGGTCGCTATTTAATATTGGGTTCATAAAACGCCGGCTTTTCGACGGACCTCTGAAATTCGCTCTACGGAACAGGTTATATTTACGACAACCGCTGGAAAATCGCAATTGGAAGGCTAATTGATCGTTATTATGCAAATCATTTGAACGCGTGAGAGCAGTAGTAGACATGTCACCGTTCAGAACACACAAGTTTTTGTTTCCACTCTACACCGAGCTGACCATACCTCCCATTCCCGCGGTGTTGCCAAACTGGTGGGAAGCTCCCCACAATCGTCAAGGGTTGGCAAGTGGCAAATGGCCGGGAACGTGCTGGCACGATTCTCTCAGCATTCAAAGGAGAATCTTAATCGACCAGGCGGAATTTGTGAAAAAGGAAAAAGTCCTCAAGTGGCCCTCGAACCCGATGTGAGAAAACGAATCGAGTAGGGAATGTTTTGAGATTCGTGCAACACGGAATACTGGGTGGTGTAAACCAAGACAAAAAACATAAGACTTCATGGTGTGCTTTCTGTTTCTTCGCAGAAGTTCATAAGTGGGGGAAATCTCCTCAAATTTTCCTGCATTGAAAATATCGATCAGCTTTTAGGCACCCTTTCAAATGTTAAAACGGCACCTTGTTGATTTTCAGAAAGTCCGCCTCTCGAAGGAGAACCCTAGCGAAATGATGAAAAATCTAAAGAGTTCAGAATCGAGTCAGTCGTTTCCTCTGGTGAAGCCTTCTGCTTCAGAAAGCCAAATGAAGCAAGTTCAAGCTATCGTGGTATTCGCCATATCCATTTCTTTTATCGAATTGATAAAAAGCGGCTGCATTTCTTATCGTAGGGTAGGAGACGTTGTAACCAAGGAAAATACATTGACTGTTGAAAAGCACAGAATTTTTAGTTCTTTGAGTGCCCTATGTAACAGTCATATTATGGCCCGTTTTTTCTCACTGTAGCCGTAACTGGGCAATTACTATATTACAGGTTTGCCTAGGGGTTGAGTCGTGTGCGTAAGGTTTTCGGAAACTAGCGAGGGATCGTGTGTCTTTAATGTGGTATGCCTCAGCTGAGAATAAACGCTATTGATAGAAATGAAAACACAACTTGAAGCACTTTCTGAAAAAAATAACCAAATAAGCCGCTGCTAAAAGTTGCCTCAGGACATTTGTCGGCTCCTAGTAGAGAGATAAGACAGTAGGGTGGATGAATTTGTGACAACGCCAGCAACGTTTTCTGGACCTGAATCTTGTCATGTCGATTGAGAAGGTGTGCTATGAATAGGAACATGGCTTTGGAACGCGAATGGGAAAAATCGGTGTGAATTTTTGATAAATCTTATTTTCAAACCGCTGAACTTCCTTATCTTACATTCTTCCTTGTTTTAGGTGCCTACGCCATGTGTGCAGGCGTTCAACAGCGCTGAAGAGAAGCTGAAGCAAGATCGGGCCAAAATTCAAAGCTCTCAGCCGAAGTAGAGGACGGAGGTCGACGAATATCTTTAGCAAGTACAGACAATTCATCGCATTGAAACATGCTGACTTTTGATAAAGTGTGGGGTGTTAGAAATGCACTTCGATTTGGGAGTTTTCCTGGCTTTTGCGAGCGAGTTGCTAGCGTAATACAACGTTACGGGGAAGTGGGAAAGTGAAATAGCACCTCATGTTTGCTGAGCAAAAGTGGAAACAATGTTTCAAAATCATTACGGTACTCTGTATAAAATATCAAAGAAAAAATAACCTCGCCATGGCTTTTCCACAGAGCTTTCGCATCATCCGTCACTTCATCAGGATTTTCTCGTTGGAGTAAAATGTCGTCCAGAGTTGCGTTGCCTGGAATAACGTAGCTGAATGGCAAGGTACTAGGGCACCTTCTTTCCATTGTTACTTGAAACATTAGCTAGAGAGTTTTCAAAACATTACGATACACGAGAGCCTAACTGCATGGGATAGACTTCACTAATTTCGATATCAGCGGGAAATGCCTGACCTAATCAAAATGCCCTTGATTACACATTTTCCTTCTATGTCGGTTTCTCTGGCGATGCTTGGGTACTCAAACATTTTATGTTCCTCAGAGTGCAGGCGAAAAGCTCCAGCCAGGAGGAGAAATAGAAGAGCACGTGTCTCAACCATTTTGTGTTATTTCTGTTTGTGTGTTTGTCATCTCTTCTGTTAAGTATCGTCTCTGCTCCATTTGTTCTCCTTAAAAACGTGACAAAGCTTGTTTCCTTAGAAAGCGAAGCCTTGGTAAGAACTTTCCATCATTGCGTACGTCATTTTGGTTTCGTTTCACGGCGCCAGAAGTTTATTATGTAGAAAATTTTCAATCCTTGCACGACGAGCGCTTATACGACTGACATTTGTTCTCACGCTGTCGAACAATTTCTAGTCAGCCAGTGTTTTCTCCTTGAGAAGACACGAGGTTATTAATAACAAAGTTCACTGCAACACCGGCTGACAAGTCGGTGGATTTCACCTCCTTCAGAACCTGATAAGGTCAAGTTTATTGCTACCTACTCAGCCATATACCTTCTCTAAGTGAACACACAATCCACGAAACCTCGATTTCCATCCCAGTGGAGTTCAAACATGCTCTTTAAACACTCATCGTTTCCCATGAACCCCCCACTCGATATTCCACTTCGAGCTTAACCGCACAACGCTCACATGGATGAACAGTGTGCTTCTCCTGCACTAAATATTGTCTTAGCTAAAAAGAACGACAGATTTTCACCACCGCTACCTAAAACATCAAGTCGTTCTGAACTTCATCGAATGGAGACGACGAAACGAACCATGCACTTAACCAGAGAACAGCCTCGAATTACAGGACAACGTGAGAGGACTCCGCGCTTGTCTACGATGCAAGTAGGGCAAGACGCTTGCGTAAATGAAGACGTGCTTGTTTAAAGAAAACTGCTGCTGTGACTAGTTGACCTAAGCACTTTTGAGTAAACCGCATGAAACGGCTTCAAGAAGGCAAAGAAACGCCGTTAACGAAGATCAAATTAGTGACAGTAGGGTAAATAATACTCCAAAAAATTCAAGGGATGCCGTTTTGGGAGGCATGGCTCTCGCTGACGGAGCACGCTCGCTGTTAGAACCGGGCCCAAGATTCTCACCAGCACAACCCATTTCTAGAGCAATTTTGTATAGGATCGTATAGTTTACATGGCAAGGCTAGACGTTAAACACCGAATAGCAATAAGTAGAGACATTAAAGCTATCGTT